TTTCGTCTCGATAGGGTCCTCCTTCGGCCTGGCCAGTGTCCAAAAGAGATCGAGACGAGACTTGTCTGTCTCGATTAAGGTCTGATGGACCTTAATTCTTAGTCTTGACTGACATTAAATGCAACGCACATTGACCTCATCCAACCGGATTCTTCAGGGGAAAAAATCACCGGGAAAAGCATTCCCAGAGGTCGTCCTATGCTTTTGTCGTGAATCATTCTGTGACCATTGAGTTGAATGAAAATTTAGAGCGAAGGGCAGGAAGATGAATAAAAGAAGAGCCAGGAGAGAGAAATAGAAGGGAGAAAGCTTGATGTAGTGCAGGCTTTGGACAAGGTCGGTTCGGGGAGTGCGCACCGCCATCGCAGGCTAATCAGAGGGAAGACACTCTGGCCTAGTGCAAATACAATCAATGAGATCTCCATCCCCTGTTCTTTCTCAACCATTCATCTCTTTCCTCCTGCTTTCTATTTTCATTTTTTCTTTCTTTGGTGGTGTGGGGAGGTTGGGTTTGCGTCCTACACTGCATTCTGCCCGTCCAGTTTCTCTTGAGGTTCCTATCTATATGCATCTTTACAGTTCTCATATGGCGCCTTGGCTCAAGCAGCATCCAATCCTCATTTCCATTCTGCTACAACTTTCTTTTTTTAATTTTACGCTAGAGATCCAAGCCTCAGGCGACGCTGATCTCTCTGACTCTTCTTTCAGGAAATGCATCTTCATCTGCTCATACGTTCTCTTTTCACTCCCTGTGCATAGTTTTTTGCATTAAAACTTTTGTATTGAAAGTTGAACCATTTTTCTCTCTCTTTGCTTTCTCTCTTTCACTCGCTTTTCCCGTTCCGAGGCGAGACGTCATTAATCTTCTCGTTAATTATGTGCCAGAGACAATTTTGAATGATTGACGCTAACCTATGTGCTTGGAAAGGAGTGACTTAACCTTGCCTCTCATCTTCATCCCCCTAATGAATCCTTCTCTTCGGCTCCTGGTGAGATTCCTTATATCCATAGGGTTAATCGGACGCTTTGATGGTTTTGCTTCAGCAGATGAATGGATCAAGCCAGCAGGGAAGATGCCTCAGTCTATGTGCTGGGATATGTGCTTCATGAGTTGACATTTCCAGCATTTTGAATATGTAAATCATAACTTATTCTCTTGGGATCCTGGGTTTCCTTGCCTACGACATGAATTCTCTCTCGACTTGTTGATCATGTGACTCGTTCTCTATTTGGAATATGCATGGGATATTCTTCGGAGTATGCATGTCGGAGCTGCTCCGGGGCGGAAACGTGGGATAAATGTCGTCTTTCCAGGACAACCTCATAAAGTCTTTATTTTATATTCCAACGAAACAGGATTAAATCAGCGCGTCTGAAGAGAAGGGGAAGAGGCGCACTTCACGCTTTGAGGGAGGGAGGAAAAGCGATTGAATCGACAACTTGCATCCCATTACCATTTTAGATAATAATGCATACTGTAGATACTGTATTTTGCTAAAAGTCCAGACCCTCCCATATAAATACACTTTGGGATTCAGTAACCACATGACTGGTCAATAAGAGATATGCACGGTATGTCCATCGCCTTGAACATAACTTAACAGCGCGATGGCAGCACGATGGGACTCACATACCTTCTAAGAGGGCGCGGTAGCTCGGTAGCAGCTGCTGGGAATGTTGTCTATCTACTGCGACTCTTAGACCCTCCCTTCAATGGGTCCTGTCATAGCACAATGAAAGACTCTTAGACCAATATGTAACATTCTCAGCGTGAAGAGTTTCAGGTAATCATTTATGCCGGGGGGTGGGAGGGACCTGCATTTATTGGCTAATGAGCCCATGGGAATGTACGATATGCTCATGTGTTCATTGATGGTTCCTGGGTTCCTGACTTTTGGTTAGATAATATGAATTATTATTGTATTAATTTATGCTCATTAATGCATAAATTATTTATGCATTTTTACATTAAAGTACCTCTTGTCCCTAAGGTTTTCTCATTGTTTAGAAATGAAGTACAATACAGGCCTTAGTGGATGACATGGATGACAGCATCGGATACTTAATTGTGAGAGGAGGTTCTCCTCTGATATACAGTATCGCCCGCCAGAAAGTTTGCGGCAGGTGGGAAAATTTCGCAAATCTTAAGAAATATGAAAAAAAAATCTGACTTTTTTTTTCTGAAAAAATATAATTTTACTTAGTTTACGTTATGAAAATACATATTTGTGCAACAAAAGCAATTATTTTTAAATTTTAAATTCAAATTTTACTTTAATTGAAATAACCACCACGATTTTTATGACGACAGCACAGATTTTGGGCATTCTTTTGATTAATTGTTCAAGTGTAGCAGATGGAAGGCCGTTCCAGCATAGTCGCAGAATGTCCCAGAGATTTTCGGTGGATGATGTTTGTCTTTGTCGCTCTCTGCGATCCAGTTCTTCCCACAACAATTCAATTGGGTTCAGATCGGGCGATTGTGGTGGCTAATTCATTATTTTTATTACCTGTTTTTGGCTCTCATGAGTAAAAAATCTCTCGAAGCGCTTCAAAGTTCTTTGTATGCAGCAACAGGAAACGTCCATATTTACTGCAATCTGAACTTTCTAGTATCTTCCCTCTGAATAAATAAGGATTCTTTCTCTTTCTGTAACGGTTAGATCTAATATTTTGTACATTTTCGAGACTTAAAAAAAAATTGAAGAATATAAAATTGAATCTGTCTTCTAATATACTTTGCGAGATCATTGGCAGTATAATTGTTCCAAATAGTAAAAAAGGTAGTAATTATGACAAAATTAATTAAATATAATATTTACTAGATGAAATCTTTTCAAAATGTAAAAACTTTTAACGTTAATGCACTTTAAAGTGAAGCTAGAAATAGAACGCGAAATGTGCTCCTGCGTGAAATCACGAATAATTTAAAAATAAATTGAACAATAACAAATAAAATAATAATTTCGGGAAATAAAGCTACAATAAATCATTTACATTCCGTTTGAAAAAAAGAGCGTTAATTTTTTTTGGTCTTTTTCTTGAAAAAGTATCATTTTTGCAACCTGCCTCAAACTTTCTGGCGGTACTGTACATGAAAGGAAGCAATTTTCGTGGTTCACCTATTCAATCAACTAATCGAATGCAGGAAACGGGTAAAGCGAACTGTATAAAAGATAAGTTGGAGTGTTTTTGTCCATGCAGCCTATAACAACTAGAGGCACGTTTGTGATTAACAGGGAGAACGAGAGTGGGAACATATTGGATAATCTCCTGTCCCGAATGGAACAATATGCAAATAACTTGGAGGCCCTGGTCGAGGAACGGACGGCGGATTACTTGGAGGAGAAGCGACGTTGCGAAGAACTTCTCTATCAGCTTCTTCCCAAGTACCCTCTTTCTTTCACATCACTGGTAATGTAAGAAGACGTGGAGGCATGAAGTGAGGAATGGTTGGTTGTGACATAGATCGGTGGCGAGTCAGCTCATCAACGGACAGTCGGTGGTGGCGGAGACCTACGAGAGTGTCACCATCTACTTTTCCGATATCGTCGGTTTCACCGCCCTCTCAGCCGAAAGCACTCCCATGGAGGTCCCTCTTTTTCTCCATCTTTCTCTCTCTCCTCCTATTTCCACTCATCTCTCACAATAGTGGAGAGGGGGGGGGGGGGTTTGGAATGTAGAATACTCCTTGAAATAGCATTTTTTTTAGCAAAAAAATATTAATTTTTACATCCAATTCTTCACAACGGTACTTTTGGTATTTAATATGCAAAATTTTATTCACCTAGATACTTGAAAGAAATCTACGTTTACGAAATATGAATTATTTGCTTAAAACCTTTAGTACGTAATAATTTCCAGCGTGTCTTCTTTGGTTCTTTACGCATAAGAACATTCGTAACTCACTTAATATGAAAATCATCCTTTAATTTCAATATTTTTTCATATCAGCTGTAGTTAGACAACTTATTGGTTGCCAAGGTTCCGATTGGGTGAAACGCGTGTAGGTGGACCTCCTCCTTCAGAGCAAGTGCTATAAGAGTGAATTTATGGATGAAAAATATGTACAATTATTTAAAACTATATTCAGTGTCCATCCCCGATTGGGCACGGGGTGAGCGAGAGAGTTGCGCACTTAACGGAATGGAAGGATTGGGCAGATTTTGTTGATATAAAGGTCATTTCAATCCTAATCCTTTTGAGCCTGACCTCTCTGAAAAAATGTTGCACCTCTTATGGAACTTTCTGGAATGCCCCGAAATTTACATTAATTTAACATTGAAGATTGAAAAGTTGAAAGTGTATTGTGCTTCCTCTACTTTATTTGAAATATGACTTGGCATGTTGTATTTCAAGTCCTATATTATGAAATGTTTGTATGCTGTATTTTAAATATTTCAGGATGTCCGAAAAGCCCCAATCTAAATTCGTAAACATGATTTCTGCCATGTTCCCAATCGTCAGGGCTCCCCCATGCCAGAACAAAGATTATGGGTGACATGCACCACATGCATTTAACTTTAAACTGATCTGGCTTTATAATGGGCATCCATGGGAATAAGATTGTCTCTGTAAAACGGATTCCCGTTGAGAATCATTGTGAGATCAGATTAATTTAAGTTAACCAGATCTGGTGCATGTCAGTCCTATATCGGCACGCGTAGAAACCCTACACCTGCCTCAGGACCAGAGTTGGAGGATCTTGTATTGCGCATAAACATCTTAGGGGGCGGTCGCGCCTAATCTGCAACTGTCTCTGGCCATACACATATGCGCCATTCGATATTACACAAGTCCCGACATGACGCCCTTAAGATATTGTGACCACAGACATGCAGGTTCGGTGTTGTCTTGTCGACGCGATGCGACCGTCTAACAGAACCTGGAACCCTTCCACGCTGGTCTTGATGCTGGTGAGGGGAGTCCACGTCTGTCAATACGATGCCCCTACCGCCATGGGTGGACACTGAGATCGGGGAAATGCTGGAGGACATTTTTGATAGGGACGTTTCGGACCCCCTGTACTTCCCAGAATATCTCCCTATAATGCCTGTTTCCATCACGAACACTTTTAGAGATATCCATGTGGACTTTTATGTCTCTAGGTGGTGGATCTACTGAACGACCTGTACACTTGTTTCGACGGCATCATCGAGAACTTCGACGTCTACAAGGTCCCTTTCCCATTCCCAATCTCAATTAACCCGAAACTCTTCCATCTGGAAATGAGTGGAATCTGTCATAGTCTTGGAGAAGGAAAGAAAGAGAGAAGGATATGAAAGCATTCAGCCTATTGACGTTGGCCTGCATATCCATCTTCGAGGGGTGTAAACTGTCCTCATTCTCACAGTTTCATTCCATCTCTCTCTCCCCCTCTCTGTCCCCCATTCCCCACGAAACTGCGTACTCGAATATGAGGATGAGATGGAATACCCCCGATTCCTAGGTGACTCCATCGCAGAAGGGGTTACCTTTCAAATGTGTCAGGAGTTTTACGTACCTCCTCCTGCACATTCCCACGTTTGTTATATTTCGGAAACGAAAGCGCTAGATCAGAAATCATGCGAAAGTTTGATGCGGATAAGACAGGAAATCTCGAGAGTGACTCGTTTTTCCTCACCCCAACACTAATCAGGGCTGTGGATTCAATCGCTTCTTCAAGTACATTCATTATTTAAAATTTTCACATTCAATATTCATACAGGTTTATAATCAATATTTTAAACAACTGTATATTTTGTCTGTTTATTCAAAAATGTATTAAAGGTTCTAACGATAAAGGGTGGCATGCACCAGATCCATTTAACTTTAAAACTTTAAACTGATTCGTTTTCATAATGGGCGTCTATGGGAATAAGTTTATCTCAATTAAACTGATTCCCATTTGGGCCCATTGTAAGATCGGATTAGTTTAGCTTAAACGATTCGGTGCATGTCACCCAATATATGGCTTAGGACCTTAAAGAGAGCTATAAATATTTAAATGAATGTTCCACCTCTTTATGCTCTAAGGATGAATTTTTTTTGCCAGACTCATCAGATTGAGCTGGTGGCTCCGATGGTTGCGCTGAATAATGATGATCTCACTCGGTGATACTGCAGAGAGCATTTTGTAAATAATATATCTCAACTCTTTGGAATGGTTTCCTGCCTTCCAGGCGAACGGGAGGGTCTTTCGTCATGCATTTGCTCATCGGTAAAATTCTCATGGAATTATCTTGACATTTTATTTTAATTCACGCCAGAATATTCTATATCTGCATCGATGCAAATGAATGCCCTCTGTGCCCAACAGTCTGCCAAATACCCAATTTACATGTTATACACGAATATGAGATGGAAGTCTGATCATTTGCCTGGCATATATTAATATCAGAAGTCCAAGTAATAACTCAACTTGACATTGCGATATTCCTTGTTTTCATTGTGGAAGGACCTAATATACGGCACGGTCGCAGACCACGAAACTTTTGACCTCACTTGCAGAAAACCTATGTTCAGAATTTGTTATTGGTAAATATTGATAGTTTAGAAATTAAAATCTTTTAACGCAGCCTTGAATGATGAAGCAAAGGGTCATTTTATCGTGCGTATCTAACTGCGAATGTTCATCTTACAGTTTTAGCATCACGATCCTGCTAAGATCTCGTCTGAGGCATGAAATTGGGGCCAATTTTGCATAAAAATAAAGTATATGCATTGGAATTTTTTTTGGAAACCGTGTTCATTTTGATTCTCTTTAAATTCGAATCTCGCGATTTCGAACTTTGTAGAATGGAGAGCTTTTTCGCTTGGGACTCTTTAGTGCAGCTAACCGTTCTCACTGATTGCAACCAGAGCCTGATTGCCCACATTTCATTGATGGCATTCAGAAACCCTATCTTTGATTGCTTGTTGCAATGGAAGTATTGAGCATGGTTCCATGTTATTTTCCTTTTGGTAAACTTTCGGAATTGGGTTCCAGCAAGTGAGATAAAAACTGGTAACTGTAATCGTGCAACATATCAATCAATAGGCTTTGGTAGCGCCTATTACATTTCTTCAACCCTTTCCCGCCGAAAAATTCAACCTCCACGTAATACCACCTCTGAGAGCATCAACAGGAACGAAATTTGGCATACTTCTTCCTCTTACCACAGAATCACTCCAGCAAATTTGAAGCTCCATCTCCCCGGGGTTGTGGAGATCGCTGAATCTCGTTTTTGAAGGATGTGAATTTCATTCCGTGTTATTTTTTTTCTTCTTTTTTTTTCTCCCCCCCCCCCCCCCCCCCC